ATTTAAGGGTTGAAATGACAATAAATTATGTTTTAAAACAGCATGGGGTTTATGAGGGGGTCCCTGGAACTTTTTTCACCATTATAAGGGGTCTCCAGACAGAAAAGGTTTGAGAACCCCTGGTTTAGACAATAAAACAGCTGGTTTTAGACCATAACATCCCTTTCAGTTTCCTCTTGCGTCCACAGTTTAATCCTGTTGGATGTGGTTGGTCCTTCTTGGTGGTATGCTGACATTACCCTGGATATCATGGCTCTTGATCCATCACAAAGACTTGCTGTTTTGGTCACAGATGCACCAGCAAGACGTGCACCAACAGTTTGTCCTCGGGTATGTCACCCATAATGTTGTGTGCATTGCAATATTTTGAGCCAAACTGTGCTCTTACCCTGCTAATTGAACCACACTCTGCTCTTACTGGTGCAATGTGCAGTTAATGAAGACTGGCCACCAGGCTGGTCCAATTTCATCATGAAACCTCCCACACTAAAATGAAAGGTGTTTCGGTTTCATTGTCTAACCCAGTATTTTTCAACCCTGGTACTCAAGGGACACTGCCCTGCATGTTTTAGATGTGTCCCTGCTTCAACACAGCTGATTTCAATTGATAACTGATTAGCAGGCTTGTTGAACTGCAGTCATCTGAATCAGGGAAACCTCTAACATGCAGGGCAGTGTGCCTTGAGGACCAGGGTTGAAAAACTCTGGTCTAACCCCTGTACACGCAAAATGATCCACACGTGGCGCCATGTGACAAATTTAAAATATCAAGTTTAATAAAAGTGCGTATGTGTGCGTGTGTGTGTTCTAGCATTTGTAATGTCCAGTTTTCCCAAAATCTACAGTTTTGTGAAGACTGCTCTTATGAGGCCCAAAGTCAGGACTCCGTATGTTCAAGTGCCATTTTTGGGTTTGGGGTTAGAGTAAGGGTCATAGAAATGAATGAAAAATGAATGGAAGTCAATGTAAAGTCCCTGTTAAGATAGAAATACAAATTAACCGTGTGTGTACATGTGTTTGTGTGGACATATTGTGACATTCTATGCTTATATGAGGACATTTTGTTGACGTTAGCCTCGTCCACACAATGGAAATAACCCATTTGTGGGTCAGGGGTTAGGTTTACAGCTAAGTTTGGGTTGGAGTTAGATACCCATGAGGTTAGAGTTAGATTAATGGAAGGTTAAGCAAAATCCACACAAGTTTAGAGAAATGAGAGTATATGTGTGTGGGGCTTTGACAGATTTGGAGTGCTGCTCCTTCATTAGAAGACTTGGTGGCAAAGACGTGTCTTTGCCCTGGGGCTCTTTTTATATAATTCTTCCAGAATGAAGCTATATTTGGGAGTGCCTGTCATCAGAAACTACCCCTCCCTCTCAGTGAAACATCCTGATGAAGACTTCATTATGAAAAGATGCTCAGTCTCTGCAGTAGTTGGGCTCCTCATCCTTCCTCCAGAAGCCAAAAGCTTTTTTGAGACAACCTCCTGTGTGCAACCTGATCAAGTATGGAAGCAGACACGTTGATAGAATCCATCGTCAGAACGTTCACGTTCATGGCAGGGATCCTGGGAAACAGCTGGCTGGCTCTAGTCTCTCTTCCCAAGCAGAGGTCTGACGTTCGTACCAATGAGGTCCTTTTCATCAACCTGGCCGTATCCGACCTCATCACCAACTACCTAGTGGACCTGCCCGACACCGCCGTACACTTTGCTGGACGCTGGTTCTTGGGGGAAACCTTCTGTGGCATCTTCCTCTTTTGTGCCGACCTCTCTGAAACCAGCAGCATCTACACAACCCTCTTCATCAGCGCTTTCTGGCACCAGAAGCTGGTTGGGTCCCTCAAACGCGGAGGCGCACCCGTGCAGCTGGACAGCCTGCGCCTGGTGGGCTGTCTGCTGGTTGGCAGCTGGATGCTGGCCACCATCTTCAGCATCCCTCACTACTTCTTCGCCTCGGTGAAGAGGCTGAACGAGAGCCACGGAGGCTGCGTCGAGGTCTTCCCTGAGGCACTTTCCAAGCAAACCTATGAGATAACCTTTTTAGTTGTGGCCAATGTTTTCCCTCTTGTGGGGATCATCATTGCAAGTGCTCAAATTGTTGTTACTCTGCTCCGAAACCAGAGGCACGTGGCGAGTCGAGAGTCGGCAAGCAGCAAAACGGATCCCAGAGTCCAACCTAAGCAGACGCCACCTAAGCCCAGCCGCAGCCCTCAGGCGAGAGCAGCGAAGAGTGTGGTGGCTGTAGCCAGCGTGGTTGTGCTCTGCTGGCTGACTCATCTGCTGCTGCGCCTCTCCAGCAGCATACACACCTCATCTGTGGTGTTGGAGGTGGCCGGCTACATTGCATCGTCCTACACCAGCATCATCCCCTACATATTTTTGCACGGAGTGAAAAAGCTCTCTTGTTCATGTAAAAAAAAATAATGAATGAACGCTCAGTGTGGTTTCAAACCATCCAAATGACTGTAAATACTGATTTTAGGTCTTCGTATAGTTACTACACTTTTCTACTTTTTGACATTACTTACATGTTGATTTTCTTCCTTTATAAAATGATAAGGCATGCAGGTAAAGTGATTCAACACAAACCAGATATGTTTAGGACCTTTGTGTCATCGTAAGCCTGAAAAATGAAACGACAGCTTCTTGCTGGAGCCCCACTTTTCTTTTTGTCCCCTGCTGATGCAGGGTTCCTACAGTTTAAGGCAAGTTAAATTTAAGACTTTTTAAGACCTCTTTAATGCCACTTGACATTAAATGTAAGACCCAATTCACAATAATTAAAAACGCGGGGAAAAAATGGTTGGTTACAATTTTTACCCAAATGTTTATTTTAACACAGAACAAATAGCTACGAGAGAAATTCTTTAAAATATTTTTAAAAATAACGTAAATGTTACCAATTATTTTAAGATTTGAGACAATTTACAATTATCCTACTTAAAATGTTTTAACATTTTTAAGACCTCTGAAAGATTGATTTAAGACATTTAAAGGCTACTTAAGGCCTTATTTTTGGATTGACTAATTCAATGCCTTTTAAGACTTTTTAAAGGATCCGTGGGAACCCTCTGATGGACAACAGGTTGTATTTGATAGTGTTATCTTTGCAAATAAATGTGTGTAATTTACTGAGCTTTTTATTCACTGGAGTTTTCAGCTATAAACATAAAAGATCAGATTTATAAACCATAGAAATAAAAAAACTAATATGCTGCACATATTTTCCACTGCCAAAGGAGGAAAAAATTATTAAAGCTTAGCTGCTTCGAATGTTAGTTTTTAAACAAGCATACCAAATTATAAAGATTCTTTAAATATTTTAAGAAAATTAAAATCTGCTTTTAGCTGATAAAAATATGAGAAAAAACATTTAACACTTGTGTTTCTCTCTGTAAACATCATGTTTGATTGACCTTACTAGAACCTACTTTTGTTTACTTCAATTAAAAAACAAACAAACTCAGCACCAAGACTATATGTTTATTTTTCACAAGCATAAAAAAATTATACATAATTGTGTACTTGAGCACACAGCTAATTGGAGATCTTCAGCAATTAGTGCCTTGTGAGTGATGACAGCAAGAAAACCAGAGTGCTGCTTTAAATTAAAGATAATTGCGAAACCAATGTTGCATTATTAACATCTGATGCTTCTTTCTGCTAATTATGAACATTTCACACAAGGCTGTATTTAAAAACACCAGTATGTCAGTCGAGTGTGTCCCAGTTATCCATAGAAGTCAAGACAATTTCAATATCTTTAAAAAAAAAGTTTTATTTTTTCTCTCAATACCAGAGTTTTTAGTACAACACCAAGTTTAAAAAAATGTTCTGCATTTGAAAGTCATTGAAGTTCCTTTACAAAATGGCATGAATTTTTCAATGAGCTTTGGCAGAGGAGACACAATATGTACATAATTACACTAAACTGTCAGAACCCTGTGTAGAAACAGGCATATTTGTCACTTTTAGGAAAATACCGTATCAGGAACAAAATCGAGCGTTTGTTTTTTCCAATATATGCAAACTGATAGTTGATAGATTTTTTTTTGTAAAGACAAATTTATCAAACCATTTTTAGATTTCAGCCAACTGCACACAATGCAAAAATACTAAGTCTCTAAAATTCTGCTTCAGTATAAACTAACAAAAAGTATCAAATAAGTTATAAGAGTTACATTTTTATTTGTCTGCATTTTACTTTTGACTCGCACACACATTTAAGAGATGCTGTAAACTCTCCTGGTGGAATATAAACATGGTGAGGTTGTGTCAGACTGAAAACTATCATCCTTTGTGTCAGTGGAGTTTCTCCAGTTTCGCCTGCAGTGATTTAAAGTTACCGATGATTTGCTGAAGAGCCGAGTTTGGGCTCAGAGACTGCAGCTCCACCAGGTATCCGCAGATGTTGTCGAGGCACACGTTAGTGAATCGGCGCCTGGGAGAGATTACACAACATTAACTGGATGTTTTAGCATGGTGTAAGTCTGAAACTATACCTTATTCTTAAATAGAAGCTTTAAATTCATTGGAGTTTATATCTGCATGTTTTCAGCTCCTGATTGGTTCAAACTGTTTCATGAATTCATACAAGCATTTCCAGCTTAAACCAGTGGGTTCTGATGTTATCAGTCCATGAAATGGACGTTATTAGCAGTTGTCAGTCCCATAGAATGGCTCCAGACTGTCCCCACAGTGCCCCCTAGTGGGTTACTATATCATTGACATTGAATGTGTAAATAACCAATACATATTTTAATAATTTTTTTGTCTGGGGTGGGTGGGGGGGGCGTGGTTTTCTCGCTGTTTTCTTGCTGCCTGTGCCTGGTCTCGATCCTAGCTCTCCCGCTCACTGGTCTGGCGCTCTACCCATTGCCCTACAACAATGGTCTACTTTCTCGAAGGCCATGACCATTTTCTTTAAAATTAACCGTATTGGCTTTATGCCTCATATTAACCTTAGTGGTTTTATGCCTCATATTAACCAGCCGGTTCTGACGTTATCAGTCCATTCTATGGGACGGAGAACCTACTAGGAGCCAGTCGGGACATTCTGAAGCCATTCTATGGGCCTGCATAACGTCCATTTAATGGATAATAACATCCGAAGCAGGTGCCTTAAACAATGGAAGCTTACCTAGGAATTGCCTTACTATGTCAACACCACACTCACCTGTCATAGGTTGGTACTCTACTGGGGTCTTCGACATATCCTGAAAGCAGCACATGGATACACTCCACCAAATGAAGAGGTTTCCTCAGTCGCTGCCAGCAGGGATCCTAAAGGCAAGTTTTTTTTTTTTTATTGGTGTAAGTAGTTCATGATTGTTTGTGTTTTCAGTACAAAGCGTAACAAAATGCCGTGTGTACCCGGGATTTGAAGAGTTGATCGTAAACCTCTAGAAGTCTCGGCAGCTGTACTCCGATCTCCAGCATGGTACACGAGACAAATCCCACGTCCCAGTTGAGATGGCAAACTTCCTGCTCCAGGAACTTCACCAGGAACTCTGCAAACCACAGCAGCACTTGTTAACACTGCACACTCATCGTGTTCACAAATGATGGTGCAGCACGCCCACAAGTAGCAGGGATGTATATAAAATGAATCAAACTCTCCACAGACATGACAAGTTCGAACTCGCCGGCTGTATAAAGAGGATAATTAAGAGCACAAGCAGCTGTTTGGTTTAAACAGACCTGCGCCCCAGAGACACACTGAGATAAATTATGCAAAAAGACGGGATAATTATATTACTGTTGACAAAACTGTAAATAGCGAGCTGAATAAACCTCACAAGGCTGAAGTGGAATATGATTAAAGCCTACCCAGAGGGAAATATCGGGGCGTTCCAGCATATATCTTCCCGAGTGATACCAGTTTCAGATTCAGAGCCCTCATCCTGTCTGCTGGGCTCATGGCCACGCTGTCTGCCAACTCTGGAAGACAAAACACTGACATGTACACAAAGCAGGAAGAGGGCGACTTTATTGCAGGATGTTGATGTTTTTCCCACCTTTTTCTAAGATCTCCTGCCACAACGAGTGAACCAGAATTGGATCGGAGTGTCCCGCGCAGTGAATGATGGCCAGCTTGCACTCAGACAGTTTAAAATGGTCGGCAAATTCTCCATAGAGCTGCAAGAGAAACGAAACAAGAAGCCACAACTGTGAACAATGTGTGTCACAGTGAAAAGAAATACATTTAAACTCATCATTCTGAGGCTGTGAGTTACTTTTGTAATATCCATGAGCTCAGAGTCCAGCTGGGAGATGGCATTTTTCACTGAGGGATGATGGGAGTACTGTCTGATTAGTGTTTCCTGGATTTGCACTTGAATACGCACAAGCTGGAAGTGGAGAAACAAACAAACACAGACATAAGAATCTGCTGAAAGTTCTATTGAATTTTCTCTCAGTCGTAACCAAAAAGTACCTCCATCTTTTCCTCGAGCTCGTGAAGGAATTCCCCGTCAGAAGCCTGAGCGGATATGCAGGAAGAACTCTTTGCAGACAGGATGGCTCGAGCGATGTACTCTAAACGCTGCTTCAGAGAGATCTCAGTGCTACATGAACAGAAAATAATGCATAGTTACACACGTGTAAGTGGTTTGCAGAAAGAAACAGTGTCGGTGACTGGTCAGTAGGGCTGGGTATCAGGGCCAGTTCTCTAGAGTGATTCGATTTCGATTCATTAAGTTCTGAATCGATTAATCACGATTCGATTCAATTCAATTCGATCTGCTCTTAAATAATGAAAACGGTTCAACTGTGTTGCAAAATATAATATCACTATTTTTTCTCTTCACCATAATGACAAACTTTTATATTAAACAGTTTAATCTTGAAGGAAAACTGTCCCAAGTTTAAAAGGTTTTAAATTAAAAAGGAATTGCAGGTGACAATGTTGTTGGAGGAATTCATTTTTAAGAATTAATAATTTTCTTGATAAATAGAAAAGTGATGGGGATAAGGTTGCAGGAGAAGAGGTGGGCTAATATAAATCTATTTCTGCCCACTCCTTTTGTGTATGAAAATTGTATGTTTGTAATGTTTCTTTTAGCTTCTGTTGTTTAATATAACTAATTAAACTTGTTACTTATACCTTATTAAAACAAATAATACAACTACAGCATCAATGAATTACATTAAGACGTTTCTTTAAGTTTAAAAATAGTAATATTGGTGATGAAACTAAACGATTTTGTTAGAATGTCGTCTTTAACACGTTTAAACATGCTGTGGAGAACAGTTTCAGTCACGTACAGTTGTTTGGTTTGAGCGCCCAACAAGCCGCTCGTCAAACCCACTTTGTTTCCTCTACCACATAGGAGAGCAAATCTTTGCAAAGAAAAGTCACCATGGTCTTTGTTATCTTAAAGTTTTACTGAGAATCGGCTGATAATGTCAGTGATTCCTTAGCT